GGCTTTAGATGGCAGTGCCCCTGCCATACCACTCGCCCACTTGACTCGCCCAGTTCCATAGCTCTTCAGGTATAAGCCCACCTTATTGAACAAGAAACTAGGCCCATTTTGCTGATAGGCCAAATTGCACCCAGGAAATTTTTGTACAAAAAAAATATTTTTTGAATTAATAGCAAATTGGGAGGCAATTTTTCAACATTGCACGCACAAATTAAGTCAGCTGAGCTACTAATTCAAATCAAATCCTTGGCTCCTGGTGTGTGAAACTGGATATAAAGTAGAGGGTGGGCTTATGCCTGAGAAAGTACTATTATTTGTGATATTTTTTAGCGCTTTGCATCCATTTCTCTGATAGCAAAAGACAATTGATATCTAGTTCAAGACACTTCAGAAAATTTATTGTATATTTCATTATCATATTCCTAAAGAAATTGCCGAAACAAGATTTGTTTGAATAACACCCTACTCACATGACAGAAAATGTACTAAATATTAACAGGGATATCTGTTCTGATATTTCCATACCAAGAGTTACATTGCTTTCTTTTACATGACTAAATACAATCCCTGCTACAAGTTTGTTGGTTCAGATAGCGCAACGTTCAATGTAAAGATATAATGCGCCCCGTAATGTTTACATACCATTCTAAATATCTTGGAACTTTACAGGCCTCTTCTGAGGTATGTTTTTTACCAAGATATGGTTGGTATTCTAGCAAGGATATGCCTTCTCACAAGCGAAATATCTTTGCTAGGGAAAACATCCTTGGTACAAATTGTTAGTATTTAGTACATTTCTGTGAAGCTGTAGGCTTAAGAGCATAAAAAAATCAACACATCTAACGTACAGACGTGGCCGGTAAAACAGAAATATAAATAATCCTACACTTTTGTGCATAATTTAAATTCTCTAACAATTTTTATTAAATGATGTTTTCAACTGTTAAGTTGGTATCATCATTTTCATTAATTATATTAGAAACTATGTGAGTTGAGAGTATTGATTAAGCTAGATTTAAAAACAAATGATTTAAAAGAAGGCAAAAATAATAATAAAGTTTCAGTTGAATTGCAGTTTTATCCCTAGCCCCAGTTAGCATGGTTTTAATAAAATGAATAACAACTGTAGATAACGAGACATATACAGCGTTTGTGGATGCATTTCATCCTGTTACAGAGTTATCGCCTATAATTAATTCATTCCAATAACTGTGACTACTATACAATTTTTTTTTTTTTATTCAGTTGTAAAGATCATCATCATTGTCTGCCTCTGGGAACGCATCCTGGTTGTTCGAACCAGCTCCGGCTCCTGGGCCCTGTGATTGGTTTCCTTGATCTGGGAACCTACACAGATACAACAACAAAAAAAAACAAAGTTATTGTTATGATTATTAATTCAATTTTCTAAAAATACATGTGTACAATTTTAAAGCAAAGCACACTTTGCGACATACGACTATCTGCACACAAATTCATCTCGGTTCTCTGTGAGCACTTAAGGACGCTGCACCATCTGCAGATTGCTGGTGGTAGCCCGAGTGAAATGTCGTGTGTGCCTAGCCTTAAAGAAAAATTTATTATATATTAATTGCTTGCGGACACTAGGTAGATAGTTCAAAAAATAACTGTTGTTGGTCAAGAATGTCACAATGTTTCTATTGAGTTGCTTCAGTCACCTTCAGGAAAATATTATCTGCAGAAAAGCCAAAAAAATGGCATGGTTTCCAGTGTGGCGAGAAATGTGTTGCTTTGGTTTAGGTCCGATTAATACATGGATAACCAAATATTGCTGATGAGAAATCCGATATCGTGATGTAGTGTATCGTGTTTGTCAATTTATATAGCCTCTCTGGTCCGTCTGGAATGTCAAAATGGTAAAGTGGCTATCAGATTGGCTTTATCCCAACATAACACAATATTGTTGTTTGTGGGAGTGCTTGACTATAGATGACTTTGCTGTTCCACTCTCCTAGCATGGCCTAAGTCTTTCTTGAGCCTTGTACGGAGATCACGTCCTGTTTCACTAATGTAAAACTTTCCACACTCACATGGAATCAGATAAACTCCTGGCTGGCTCTGTGCTGGTGGTTTATCCTTTTGTGTTTGAAGAGTCCGGGATAGTTTGTTGGGTGCACTATGAAACACTTTAATATCGGCTTGCTGTAGAATGCATTGAATAAGATGTGACAGCTGTCCCAAATATGGTAACCATACAAACTTTCTAGATTCCGTATCATCTTGCCTATTGCTGCATATAAATGTATTGTTTCCCATAAACTTTACCTGTAACAGTGGTATATCTGCACAGGTTGGTAAGACAAGGTATTTTAATGTACCTCCATTTAAATGCCACCAAAGAACATACACTTCAAAGATGGGGTAAGATTGGAGGGGTACAAGAATTGACATCATAATAATAATAAAAAGCAATATTAAAAAACCATTAACACATTATTATCAAAGAATTGAAAAAAATAATAAAAACAATAACAGAAATAGGTCTGACTTTCCTGATTTGGCATGCACGCAATCAAACGAAAAACACAGTGCTACCACAAGTTAGCAGGCGCTCCACATATAGATAAAAAAAATGCCATTCTTTACATACAGCATATGCTCAATATTAATGACTTTACGTGTATCACCAACCAAGGTTATAAACCCTATCTCACTTTTTAAGGGCGCACAAGGTTGTAGTACTATTCAAGAGAATTGGATAGCGTTTCAAGGAAAACCTGAGAGTTGGACCTCTTTCTATTATAAACTCTTTAATAACAATCAATAATAATTTAATAATGACAACAGTTGCTCTATTTAAGTCTGTGTATTTTCATGTATAATTAGCCCATGGAAAAACCAGATAATATTCATAATATTGTAAATGTAACAAACCTGAAGCTACCACCAAATCCTCGGCTCTGTTGTAAAGTTTGTGCAAACATCTCATATTTGCGAATGTCGTTATCCGTGACAGATCGTCGCGCAAACTTCATGGCTTCCTCGAAATGAGCACGGGTGATCTCTGGTACTGGGTCATCATCGTCATCTTCCATTTCCTTTAAAAAAAAAAATCAATAATAAAAATTAAATAATAAAATAAAATTTTCTCTTTCATTCATTTCTAAATACATGTCTCCTTCTAAATAATGTGCACTCCAATTAAAGACCACTTTTCTGTGGTCCTAAATGAATGTCGTCTATTTACCTTTACAATAATCATCCTTTTTTATAATTAAAGAACAAAGCTGCTAAAGACCACTAAAATCCTTATCCAGAAAGTAGTCTAATTGGAAGGAGAAATGTATTTGAAATTGGAAATTTTTGAAGGGACTCTGGGGACTCACAGCAGGCAGAGTGCAGCGTCAGTACCGTCATGTAATGGATACATTGTCCCTTATACCGCCACACTTCATGCGAGGGTTATTCATGTTTGAATCGAGGTCTACAGCGAAAGAAAAGCAGGAACATTTTCTGTTGGCCAAACGCTCAGAATTGGAACAACAAAATATCAATCATGTTAAATGTCTATGAAACCAATATTATTATATATCAACACTATTTAGTCATTTTAACACGTTCGCTGCCAGACACGGGTATTATACTCGTCCCACAGTTGCCGAGGCGATAGGGACGACTACACTCTTTAAAACCGGGGTAACATTCTAGCGTTTATTACTTTATTGTCATACATTGTAGAACCACAGACTTAACTGCAGATAGTGGGTGGAGGGCCAAGAAATTAGTTTTAGATTGATTAGAAAACATCAAGACCAAGTAGCCCCACTCACCTCTGAAAACAGATATAAAAATTTGTATATAAATATGAGTTTATGGTAAGAAATAGACAAGTGATTTAATATGTTATAAATTTACATACCATATCAAGATCAGGATTTTCCATTCGTTGCCTCTGACGCGAGATCTCGGCATCAATGCATTGGCGGATCGCCAACTTACACGCACGCTGACAGATCTCAGTCAAGTCAGCACCACTGAATCCATGCGTCATTTTCGCAATGTATTCTAGATTGACATCCTATGAGAAAGAGATATGTCAAATTGTTGTTAGAGAATTTTATAATGAAATGACATTAAAAAGATCATAAAAACAGAAACAGCAGTAACAACAGTAAATTCATTCTGTGTAGTTACAAATTCCACTGTAGACCGTTTGGCACTAGTAGCGTTTTGAAATGTTGCCAGAAAAAAATTAAAATTATCCCTTAATGACCTTTAACCCCTTATCCCTGAACACCCTATAAACCCTGCCTTATACCAATGTATATGTGCAGAGGACAAGACTGTGCTACATTATTTGTGAGACAAGTAGTTTTTTATGATTTTTGGTTTTTTGACCATAATGCCCCTTATGTGACCTTTGACCCCAAGTTGTGAACAATACATAAATGGGAGGCGGCATCGGTCCTACTGACCAAGTTTTAATTAAATCGGTCCAGTAGTTTGCCACTAGTAGCCTTTTAAAATGTTGCCAGAAAGAAAGAAAGAAACTGCTAGGAAACAGAACCCAGTCAGCATGCTGCTGACAGGTAAAGAAAGAAAGAAACTGCTAAGAAACAGAACCCAGTCAACTGCGGCTGACTGGGTAACAAGAATAAATGCATCTTCACATGGTAGAGTAGACAAAAATCGTGAAGGATTTAGACAAACCTATTTTATGGTTTTGGAAGGATGTGTCCTATAAACTTTACCTGTAACAGTGGTATATCTGTAAAGATGGGTAAGACAAGGAATTTTAATCTACCTCCATTTAAATGCCACCAAAGAACACAGACTTTCAAAGATGGGGTAAGATTGGAGGAATGTATGGAAGGTAATTAAAGATTACTTTAATCAAGTCACATATACTATAAACTTTGATGAAATGCAAAAACTCTGCTTTAGTTTTAGCCTGGGTTCCAGGCCCTAATTTTAGGTTACTCACTCTTTATTGCACTTAGTGCGCGCCATACCTAATTTAATTGGCGTCCCATACTCGATTTCTTTTTTTTCGAATTAGGGCCTGGGCAAACGATTCATGCTTGCAATTTCCCACATCAAATTTGATGTGGGATATCGTATGCATAACTGATTTTGTAAATCACGTGATTGGCTAACTTCATGCATATTAATCAACCTTGGTAAATTTTCAAAATTGAAGATGCGGATGTCTCGACTAGAACAAGCTCCAGCTCCCTTTTGGCTACCTACTTGAATTAAAACAGT